GCACAGGCTGGCCAGTGCTCAGTACAGTAGCCTGGCCTGAAAATGCCTCTAGACACTAACTGCATCACCACATGGGGGGAAGAAAGACATGAGACAGACCTGAGCAGCTCAAGGCAGAAGGGCCCAAAATCTAGCCAGTAAGGAGGTGGGAGGTATCAGAAGAGGGCTGAGATGGCTGGGCAGTAGACATAGCTAGCAGAGGAGGGGAGGGCCTGAGACAAAAAAGCACCAGACAAGAAGTCCATGGATTCCTGGCATGACCTGACAGCATAAGCTGGCATCCTAACTGACCTTCCAGTAACTGGCTTCTCTGTCCCAGACTCCTCTGTTCCTACAGTTCTCCAAATCTCCAGATTTCTGGCTTCCTAGGTATCCATATAACAAAGCCCTCATTACCTAGAGTATCCTATGGAAGTCTCTGTTCCTTGCAATGCAACCTACAGGTCAGCACATCCTAAACCCATGGGGGCCTCTGGGAGCCCTTCTTCTTGTTCCCCCACCTATTCCCTCACATCTGGAACCTGTCTGCCAACATCTGTTCCACACTTTTTTTGGGGGGAGAGGTTTTTGCTATAGGGCGTGTGCACTCGTCAGACAGAGAAAGACAGAGAGACAGAAAGTGAGAAATCAGAACCCAGGGGGGATGGCCACTCCGCAATCCTTTCCCCTCCATTCTCCTCTCAGGATCTTGGGCACGCATGCACACACGCCCGACGTGAGTTTTAAGCCACCGAGTCTGGGATGCGAACCGCAGTCGACTACATGGGAGTCCAGCGACATAGCCATTACACTAACTGCTGGTCCCTCACACTTTTTTTTTTGAGAGATTTTTTTCTATAGGGTATATGTGCTCACCGGAAAGACAGAGACAGAAAGTGAGAAATCATCCCCCAGGGAGCAGGGCAGGGGGATAGCCACAACACAATTCCTTCTCCTCCATTGTCCTCTCAGGATCTTGGGTGATCACAAGCACAGCATCAGTTTCAAGCCTCCAGGTCCAGGACTCTAACTGCAGTCAGTCATGCAGGAGTCCAGAGACATAACCATTACACCATTTGCCGGTCCCTCTTTCACACTTTTTTAGTTGTCAAACCAGCCTTGCTAGTTAATGTTTTGCTAAATATCGTTCTAATTTTCTACACATATGGTTATACAATATCACTACAAAAGGTAAGAAAAAGGTTGTCTGGAACAGCCTGTGGCATGGTGGTTAGGGCTGGATCCTGGTATAGAGTCCTGGACCTAGCAACTTGAGAACCGTGCTGGGCTTGTGTGTGTGCATGCCCAAAAATCCCTAAAGGAGGGAGAAATGGAGAAGGGATTGTGGTATGACTATGCCCTATGGGGGCTCTGGCAATTAAAAAGAAAGAAAGTAGAAAGGGCTCTTGGAAAACCTAGAGGAAGTAGGCATTTTACAGATCATTGTGATTGGTGATGTGCAGTTTCTAATAAACTCAGCAGCTGCTAGGGTTAGACCATCATTCTACAGACTTTCAGAGCTGTGCGAGATTTCAGGATCAACAGTGACTGGGAACAAAACTGACTGGTATCTCATACACTAGCACAAACAGGGTTCATGCCACGCCCCTGCATACCCACTATCTCCTCATGCTCAGAGAGCAAGACTGTACCTTGATCTCCAAGGTCACACAAGAGTCCAGTCAAGGACAGGCTGAGTCCCATCTGTAAGTTTAAGAAGAAATCCGTGGAATGACAGGTTT